CCTTCCCTCATAAAGACCTTGCTCCCATGGATCGACTTCGGCATCTTTCAATAATGCTTCGTATGCAAGTTTCCAATCAACATTATACATTCCTAATTTTTTTAAATATAATTCGGCCTACAACCAAACATAGGTTAAGATTCATACATACATATAGTTTTTTATTTTAAATTATAAAAAGATATATAATATATTTACCACCAACATATCAGCGTTTGAACCACCCTGTGTTAAACCATTATCCATTCCACTTCGTCCGTCAGGCATATACCCCACATGTTTATATATATCAATAAGAGATCGAACTATGTCAATGGCTCGTTCAGGTTGAAAAAGTGTGAAAAGTGGATTTGTTGTCCTAATTAAATTAGCAAATAAAATCAATTAAAAAATTTTATTAATATATAAGAGTGTCAATTAAGTATGATAATTACCTAAAAGTATCCCACTACATAAAATACAAAAAATATAATATTATTTTTTATAATCATTATTTTAAAAAAATTTAATATATATAATAATTGAATTTACATACTAGAGTATAAAAATCATCATAGTTTGGTATTGGTATACCGTAATGATCAAAAGATGACCATTTTGGATTTTCACCGGTTCTATAAAGTCATAAGTTAGAATAAAAGAATAAGAGAAAAATTATGAAAAAAATAAAGGACTCACCTATCACTTGGCATAATCATAGTTCTGTATAAACTAGAATAAAAAATTTTTTGCAAATCTTTTGAACCACCATCAACTAAAATTCTTGATAATTCACTTTCCCATGCATCCACGGCACTTTGTTTCGTAGCATCAAAATCGAAATCAGGTACTTCAGTTTCAGCACTTTTACAAGCTTGATCCGCAGAGATAAAAGATATTCCAACTCTAGATTGAATAACAGGATTTCTAATTGTATCGAATGTTAAGATTGCACCTAAAGAGAAATCATTGCCACCAACTTGATATGTTGAATTCTTAGTAATAGTTCCATCCCAAAACGTTGCAAATCCAGTAGCATTTGTATCAAATTGAGAGCAAAAGTAGACTTTATACGGGCCACCATTATTCCAACCACCAGCATATTGGCCTATACCTTTAATTTGGTTATAAGAAACAGAATATATCGCACCATTTATCCAATGGGAACTGATAAAAAAATTATTCAATTAATACAAAGGAAAAAAAAAGCGAATACAAAAGTATTTTAATATGATATGGACTAGGTGCTAAAAAGGGAACAAAATTAACAATTATTCAAAAAAAAAAGCTTTTTTTTTTTTTTTTTTGAGTTAAACTAATCCAAAATTATTTTTTACTTATAGAGTAAATGATAGTATAGCCTTTTAAAGTTTATATTATAATTATTTTATAGATTTCATAATATTTCCACAAATTTTACTCTTTTTAGGTTGAACTTTTTTTTATTGCACCTAATCCATATATTCAAAAAAAAACGTAAAAAACAAACCCATAACCTTGAGTTAAAATATGAGATAAGTCAATGATCACCTGGCCATTATAAGAAGGGGGGAATGTGTATCTATGAAAACCGGTGCGTCGACCAGCAGTTAATTCAACCATGATATCATAACTCTTAAGGCCAAATTTAGCATAGCCGAGTTCAAAATGTTCAAATGATCGAGCCGAACTATAAAATTTAATATTCAATTCATCTAAAGGCTTTACAACAGGATATTGACTGATAACACCGTATTTTGGCTCGCCTGATTATGCAATATTATGAAACTAAATTGACAAATGTGACAAAAGCTATAAATCGGTTTATATAATAAACTAACCTCCTGTTCCGCTTACATGTAGATCTAAATTTTAATAAGAAATAAAGATATTCATTTACAAAAAATACGATTCACAATATGAATACTACAGATGAAGCTTATAAGTTAAGTTCTTATGCATTTGATAGTTTCCACTTTGTGAAATTAATTTCTGATGATGCTATTTAATGCTAAATAGTAATATTTGAAATTGAATTTCGTAAGATTCTGAAGTTCCAAAAAGGTACATATGCAATATGTATGCACTTAGGTAGAAAAAAAACTATTAAATGCGTAAGAACATAACTTACAATAAGTCAAATTAATTTTAATGATCATGCGTACGTACGAGTAATACCCATGATATTACCATCAACCGTATATCTAAAAAATTCGTCAAATATTTTTTAGTACTAGTAATTTGTTAAACAAGAACTATATTTTTTTTAATGTAATATCTACCCGGCATGGAAATCATGCGCATTATTTGTGTCGAACCCTACTTTGACAAGCCCATAAGGATGACAGGGACCGTTAAAAACGTGGCCACCTTTTTTTAATAAAGGCACAATTAACACCGATAAAGTCAAGAAATTTCATTGAATGAAAGTATATATACCATTTTCGGTTCCAATTGTAGGATCAACTAGATCCGCAAGGCCCTTTAAAACATAAGTCTCGTAATCATCAGTAAATAAATGAGATATTACACCAAAATACCATTCTATTATTAGATTTATTTTCAAACTAAACACGAAGGCAAAAATCAGAAACAGTAAAATTGCCAAGACAAGTTTTTTTTTCCTTCTAATCATGTGATATAAGTGATATTGATATAAAGATTGAGTTAAAATTTAATGCGTACTAGTACGTGCGTACGATTTAAGTGTAGATGTAAGAGCTGAGTTGCTGATCGGGCTGTGACTTATACGCCACCAACCTGGCACACAATGAAGAATTGCGTGCTAGTAAACAAACAAATGATGCGATAATCACTTGGTTTATTTTTCTTGAAGTGTAGAATTTTTTAAAATAGCTTAGCTCTCAAACTGATATATTGATAGTAATAAACAGAAAACCAGTAGTAGTTCACATCTTATACAAGTTTTTGGAAATAACTAAAATGTATAAAAGTTTATTATTTCTGTTGCATAATAATAAAGTAAACCAGCAATGCTACTGTGCGGGCGACTTCGTCGCCCGCTCGCAGTTTTGAATCAACATAAATATGCTTAATTAATTATAGTCATATATTCGAATTGAATTATCAGTTTATTGGTTAGCAATTTAGCATTGATAAATTTGTCAACGGAATTTATTCAGGCTTTATTACTAGTATTCTTGCACATTCTTACGGACGTACAATAGGTACCAATAGGGATGGTAAAAAAACGGTTTAAACAGTTTTTTTAGATGTTTTAAAACTTTCTAAAAGTCTTTTTAAAACATTGGCACTGAGACTAAAATTTAAAATTTAGTACTAAAATGCCGATTCACCAAATTTCATAGAGATAACTTTTAAAGAAAAAATATTCACTTTCGTTATTCTATAATTACAAGAAATGCGCAATTGCTTAACTATATATATATATTTCTCTTTTTTTTGTACGCTCTTTTTAATTTAATACATAACTATAAATTCAATTATCATCATCTTCAAACCAACCATCAAACTTAATTCCTTTTTGAGTTCTTAAATTCTGATAGACTGCAACAAGTTTTTTTACCCGTTCAGTATTTAATAAATTTTTCATACTTTTTGGAAGCTTTTTGTATCTATATTAGTGATCCTTTAATCATGTGACTAAGGGTGTTCTCAAGTAGCACACTCAATTAATTAGATAATGATCGTAATGGTGCTCAACCGTTATGTAAAAT